ATGCTAGATGATAAAAAGTGCCTAACCCCCCCCCCCACCCCCGGGCATAGACACAAAAATAATAGTGTGTTAATTTCATAGAGATATAATAAGAATGTTTAATAGCTCTATGGTTAATTTATAGCTATTGATTGGACGATTATAAAACATGCATGACCTGTGACCTTTTATCATCATGTGATTTTCTCCATACTTCGCTGTTTTCTGCGCTACCCATATCCACTGAATTTCTGTATGCTGTGAAACACACAAATCGGAAAAGTTTTGTATATTTTGCTTATCGACAAATAAATAGTAAGGTATACATTAAGCTACAACGTGTTTATTAATTAAATATTGTTTTAAATGTTTTATAATATCCATTATTAAACCTCTAGGCCTAGCCTCTCCTATTTGTATTTCGTGGGTTCGAGACAACCAGGGCCTAGGCCTAGCAGAGGCCCTAGCCGGCTAGATCCAAAAAGGCCTTCCCAGCCTAGCAATGGCTGGCCTACTTTGATGATTAGACCTAGGGCCTACGTACCCCTCTCTGTTGATACGGGGCCTTTCTTATCCATTCCTATACATATATAATTCAGCAACTAATGTTGTATGATTAAATATTATTAACATTTAATAATATTTAAATACTTTATTATTATAAGGCAAAAAGGGAAAAGATAAATAAAAACTAATACTAATAGATAAGCCTTAGGCCTAAAGTCCGGGCATGGGGCCTAACATAATGATGAAACTTCTTGTATGGCTAGCAGACAGAAGCCTAGCTAGGGCCTAGTAAGCTTAAGATATATTTTAAACTTTGTAAATTGGTATGGACATACCGCAGCTTTGCTCAGTCGGCTAATCTGGTGGTAGCCGCTGTGTGTGTGCGCTAAACCGTGGAGATCTCTAGGTCCCCGGTTCAATTCCCATCGCTGCCTCTTCTTGTGTTTCAGCTAGAGGGCTGAAATACAAGTTACAATAGCGCACTGTCTTTCGGATGAGACATTTAAGCCGTTGGTCCTGCGTGCATTATGGCCCATGTGCCCACTGGAAATAAGTCTTCTTCCGTGGGCTATCCTTGGTGTTTACACCGAATAAATCCAATCCAATCCAATGGACTATGGCATAGTTTTTTAATGGTAAAAATCTTGTCGTATTTTACTGTATGCTACAGTTGGCCCCTGTATATGTATTGGATATAACCTTAATTATTATATTATATAACAATGACTTTATTTGTATTGGATATAACCTTAATTATTATATTATATAACAATGACTTTATTATGAAAATAGACTCATTATATAAAATAAGGGCATATACAATTCAAATAAGTTGTCAGTTGCGTGTTCACGTCTGTCATTAAATTAAATTAAATAAACACTTGTTAGTTAATAACTCTACAACTTCAATACAGGATTCTACTTAGTGTCCTAACAGTTATTCTCGGAAACTACTACCATATTATTAATAATCAGTAGTGAGTTTGTGATGCATCCCAAATACTGTAGCTCTTGAAAAAAAAAAAAAAAAAAAAATTGAGCCATCTCGTGATATTCTTTTAGGAATTAACTACTCTTTTTATGATTAAGGTTTAGTCTAAATCATCATACAAGTAAGCATACACTTTCAACATTGCAGAAAATGAGTGAATTTTGGCTGATCTCAGCCCCCGGTGAGCCAAATGCAAGCCAGACATTTGAGCGTCTGTGCCAGGCAACAACAAATCTATCACAAAACAACAAGTTCAACATTCCAGACCTAAAGGTTGGAACACTCGATGTCCTTGTTGGGCTCTCAGACGATCTTGGAAAACTGGACAACTATGTCGAAAGGTAAAAAATTGTTGCTTTCCAATATTTTGTTTATGTAGAAAGATATTTATGTGGCAGTTGCTAATTGTTACACAATTATTACACAAATTTCTAATTATGAAAATTTGCTGCCTATTTAAATTGATTTCATTGCCAGCTATATGATAATCACACCACTTTTTTTTTGCTTTGACAGTATGGCACATAAGATTGCGCATTATCTTGGTGAAGTACTTGAAAACCAGAAAGATAAACTTGCTGAAAATCTTACAGCCAATGGCGGTAAGGAATTTTTAAATCAAATTCTGTATCTATTGGATCTTAATAATGATTTTTAATCTAAAATTTGTCTATAATGTATCATTTTCCAGTGGATGATAAAGAATCAATATCTGTGTGTATTTTTTACATGTATGATTTTAATATTTTCTGTCTTTCTCTTGTCAGCAACCTTTGCTGTTATTTCTATATATGCTTTGATGTAATTCCACTATTACTGTTCTGTATCAATCATTGTAATGTATCTATTTACATTCATTCATTCATTCCTTCATTCACTCATTCATTTATTACTCCTTCGCTCATTCATTCATTCATTGACTTATTGATTGATTGATTGATTCATTCAATCAATTCAATCATTCATGTTTATCCACTTATATCTCTCTATTATCGTCAGTATCGTAATTTTTAAATAATTTTTTAGTTGAGTTGCCATCGTACATCCAGCGGTTCCAGTGGGATATGGCCAAGTACCCCATCAAACAACCACTGAAGAACATTACTGAAATTATAAGCAAGGTAACTATTAGTACTGCAGAATAATTGTGAACTGTTACCATTTGTAATAGGGAAAATAGAGACCATCAGCTGAACTGGTGGACTTAACGACTGTGTATGCACTGAAACATGCATGTGTCCCTCATTTTATTGTATTCAAAATCTGATGATAAGAACTCGGGTACTGTTAATAAGATATAGATTTTTGGATACAGTATTTAAAAACTGGGGGAAAAGGGGCATTACCACCGTTGTTTGACTTTTTCCCCAGTTTTTAATTATTTACAAATCTGTATCTCATTAACCATTACTGTTTTTTGTCTTAGAAAAATCAGTTGTACAACATATCAAAATATTTCTTCCTCCAGAGCTTGGCTTTAAACCACATTGTCTTTTGAAAGTGACCATTAAGCCATAGGTGTATTCATTGCAACACAGATTTCTAGATTTACATTAATTGTTTTTCTCTCTTGCAGCAAGTGAGTGCAATAGATGCTGATTTAAAGACTAAGTCAAGCGCATACAACAGTCTCAAGGGTAACTTGCAGTCCTTAGAGAGAAAATCAGTGTGAGTTCATGGCATTTTATTTTATCACACTCTGTTCCTTGTGCAAAAGTTTTTAGTGCATTAAAGCAAAGTTTACTTAGCTTCAAAATGGTAATCTGAAGATTGCTGTTAGGATTTTGTTATCTGCCACAATATTATTGTATAACACAGACAATAATCAGAATAATAAAATTATTATTATTAATATTTACAGAGGGAGTCTATTAACCAGAAATCTAGGAGACCTTGTGAAGAAAGAGGACTTCATAACAAATTCAGAATATCTGACAACAATACTAGTTGTAGTTCAAAAGTAAGTTTAAATTATCATTACATTTAGGCATGGAGCTAGTGGAAAGTGTTTGATATGGTAATAACCATTACTATACCTCATAAATATCAATTAGACAATAATATTTGATTGGTCAATTCCACCTTGTAAGGTAACTTCCCCACGTGTGCTAAATTTACATATACGCAGGAAAAAAGTACTACCCAAAATCGACTACCGCACCCTTGCGTACGTGGACAGTATGCAAACTGTGTAACTTTACTCCCACAGATCAAAATGGCTAATGTATATGGAGAGTTTGTTGTTTAATATTTATGAGGTATATTAGAACATATACAACATGAATTATTTCGGCAAAGTAGTGAATTCTATTTCCCTCATTGTTGGATGTTTCCGCTTCGTGTCGGGAGCCTTCCCAATCATCCAACGCCGTGGGAAGTAGAATTTACTACTTTACCTCAAACCAAGCTGTATTTATATACAACTCTGTATCTGAATTTAATATGCAATATTACTTTATGGTCCAAAAAGAACACCAACATTGGCAGATGATTTATATATATTAGAACAAATAACTAATTTTATATATTTTCATCTAGTGCTGCAGTCAACGATTGGAATTCTAAATATGAAGGCCTAGCTGATATGGTAGTTCCAAGGTCATCCAAGTGAGTTATCAATCGATTAGATAATCATTGCAACTGTGAACTATTTAATTAGTGACTCTATCAAATAATCAATCATTTAATTAAACAATAAATCATTTATCCGTGCTCCCCTTTATTTTTAAAAGTGCACTGTAAAAGGTTGCTGCCACGACCTCAGTTTACCACCAAGAAAATTAAAAATATATAACAGAATAATAAAGCAACAAAATAGTAAATTGTTTTGATCTGTATCACAATGGAACATTTTTTATTCTTTTAAATGATCAATACTATGTTTTGATTTTTTTACAGTTTAGTTTTCTCAAATTTTATCACATACAATAATATGTCTTTAAAGCCTAGTTTCCATAAAATCGCTACAGTGTTTTCAGTGCAAATGTGGCGTAGCAGTCCCTGACGCAATCAGGAGGGCTCCATGATTCGACCGACCATTTAGCATCACCGAAAAGCCGTCAGCAATTGTGTGTAGCGATTGTATGGAAACCAAGCTTTATCAAGGGTCTGTTTTCATTATTTTTGTTTCAGAAAAATATATGAAGATAATGAACATTCGCTATTCACAGTAACACTGTTCAAGAAAGTTGTCGAGGAGTACAAACTACATGCCAGAGAAAACAGGTACGTTGATTGATGATAGAGGTAAAGGTAGGAGAGGGGCATTCCACAGTATTAGTGACATTTTAAATTATATTTTGACATTAAATTTGACCATTTCGTTAAGTACACAATTTAAATTATATTTTTCTCATGTCTGAAAACACCTCCACTCCCTAAGCATCATAGAGAACTTCATACTGGAAGTGGCGAGTGATGAATGAGAATAATAAGGCGTCATGTCCAAATTATTGAAAACGACAATCACGCGTTGGACGCGTTTTCTATTGTTCTCTACAAGCGACGTTGTTTTGTAAAGTTTCCTGGCGTTTGACAACGCTAGTATGCATAGTTCGAAAATAGCTCCGCCTCTCATTGATGCTTCACTGATTTTTTTCAAACAACGCGTTTAACATGTTTAACCCGTTTGGATTTCGTTTTATTTCAAAAAGAAATTTAAAAATAAAAACACGATTTTATAGACTCGTTATATTTTGCGTTGATATATTACGAACAGAAATATATACGTTTTCCATTCAATTACCGAGAAACTTTATGTAAATTAGAATGGAGTTTTTTCTACAAGCAGTTTCCGTTGTCACAATTACCATGGGAAAATCAACGACACAAGATTTCTTTGTATGCCGCATATTCAAGAAGAGCTGTCTGCTGCGCCGCTATAAGTAGGTCTGATGCTAAAAATCGTCAGGGTCGTTAATATATATGACAAGTAGGGGCATAGTATAAAACACTCCATCATCAGTTCACAATTTTATTATATAATCATTGAGATGACGCTGTCGGTTCTGTTATTAGGTTGTATGACAATAAAATTTACTTCGACTGAAAGTTTTTCTACATGCAGTTTCCCATGTCACAAATACCGCTGTCTCTTATACACATCTAGATGTGTATAAGAGACAGGTCTGTCATGCCAACGTGTGTATCATATTCTACAAGATCTGCAATGTTTTAACCATGTTTTATATAGCCTATACGTATTTTCATCATAATTACAGATCTACTATTAATCAAAATCATAAAATAAGGGTATAGGCCTAGAACCGTTTAGGCCTTTTTTAAACGTAATTTATATACCTCCATAACTTACTGAATTGCACGCGTGTATCATATTTTACAAGATCTGCCTAAAAAAGCATGGGGCTATTTTTGTAAAATAATGTGTAAACTCTAACACTATAATACTGTACAGAAGAACCCTAAGGGACAATTTGTTTTCATTATCACAATAACTGAAAAAAGAAAACTTCATTTCACTTCTTAGGCCTATGTTTTTTTCAATGGGCCTATTTTTTTTTTTTTTTTATAATTTAACGAAAGTATAATTTGGGACACCGATAAGTGTATGTGTTTGGTATAGGAGGATTGGTTTTCAGGGTTTTTTAAGGCGTAGTTACCCTCCGTTATGGCGCTTTATTTATAATAAACAATCACGGGCGTACCCTTCGTATGAATACGTACTGAATTTCAAAAAGATTAAACAGCCCATTATAGTCTAAAATCCAACTACAAGATTAACACATCCATCATTTGTTAAATTGATTGCAATACTGTACTTTAAAATTATCTTGAGGTTTTCAAAATGTTAAAGCCAAGCCCAAGTTATCTGGGGGTAACTATTTACGTGTTATTTGTTTGTATCTCAGTTAATATCCATATAAATAATACAATATAATATAGGCCTACCCTCTATCATGGTACTATTGCATTAAAACGCTGCACATGAATAATATAAACGCCAGTAAGCCTGTTTCGTGATCAGTATAATTTCCCATCATCAGTTCACCATTTTACTATGATATTTTAGATGACACTGTCGGCTATTTATTATGTTGCGAGACAATTAAATTGTAGAATAACATACATTACAATGACAAACTTAAATTACGATTTTTAAAAGGCGTACTGTAGTCCTATATGAAAATTTTAATAATTAAAATAATAATAAATCATAATAATCTATTTATACACGGTTGAAAACCCAAATTGAACATAGAAAATACAATATCAAAAAGAATTATAAAATGTTGTTCTTTCTTGAGTCCGTGGTTCATTAATAAATAATAATAACAATAATAATAAACACAAAAACAAATATCATGCTTGCTAATGTCTGACGTGTCGCTTTCGTCTGTCTGAAAGTCGACCGCTCAAAAAATAAAAGCTCAACAATAGACCGAATCGGCGACTCCGGCTAGCTATCACCAGTCACGTGAGGTACAAAATGTAAACAGAGCACCAACCATAGTGAGCTCAGTTTGAACACAGTATATTGGGAGAGTTATGTTTTTTTTTTAATTGACCTAAAGGCTACACTGTTAGTATTGCCTTGACTAGGGCCCGGACCAAGTAGGGAGTATGCCTCGACCATCTCTGTTGTCGAGTAGGCATTAAGTAGAAAATAGCCTTTAACAGTATATTTATTGCTCAACCAAACTTGTCTGGGAAACAGGCTGGAAATAATAGGCCTGGTTGGTATGGTTCAATATGTCCTAACTTAATGCCAGACGGTTGTAATACAAATATTTGTTGTTTGTTATAGTGATTCCTTGGCAGTAACTAAAATATCCTATGATTTAATTTTGGATTTAAAATAACTGTAAGATAATACTCTTGCAACGAATGAGGTGATTTCTTTTTTTATGCTGCGATAGCATTTTCTATGAATAATATACCAGTATTCTTGACTTAAGCCTTTGAACCTAGGCTCGGCAGGCGATGACTCATGCACGTCGTGAACGTACCGTACCTTTCTAGGCTTTATTCCAACTATCCAATGGAGCCTTATTAATTGGAAAAATAGCTGTAGAAATAAATGATACGACTAAATTAAAATGACATGTAAACCCACACAAAAAAGAACCCTTCCCTACTAAACATGTGTCTAGTAGTACTAGTACTCAGCAGAAGCAGTACCGTTACGTCTACATTCCTGAGTTGGCGGCGTTCAAAAAGAATCGGAGGTGACTGACCTCGTATCTGATTCTCATGAACCTACTTTATGCATGGAGGTATTTATACCTCCATGCTTTATGTGAACGTTTCTCAATGATTTCACTGTTCTCATTCTAAGATTTCACAGTTACTAGGCAACTTGCAGTACTAGCAACTTGATATTAGGCCTGTGCCTATTACATTAAAAACGAATAGAAAGCTTTCAATTAATTTTTTTTCTTGAAATATTGCTTCATTGTATAGGCATACAGGCAACAGGCCTGACTAAACTACTATCTAGTGCAGGCTAGCTAACCTAACTTTATCGGTAGAACGTAGGCCTAATCTTTAAACCAATTTAACTGTCCCCTGCTATAACTTACTCCGATGCCAAGCTAAACATTTTTCAGTAAAATACGCAATAAAATGACGATATAAAACAACTTTACGCGACACAATATAATGCATTATAATACATCGCGAGACTCGCGAGTTCGGCGTTAAACGCATTGCTGTAATCGACAACAGCTCACTTTGAGGGGCGTCCCCAGCTTATGAATATTCAATGAGCAAAGTTAATGAGCTTCGGCATGGACGTTTAACGCTAGAAACGGTTAGACAATCCCAATCGCGTTTATCGCGTGATTGTCGTTTTCAATCATTTGGACATGACGCCTAATTACACTTACTATACATTTTCGTGGTTAGCATAAAAAGAACCAGAAGGTTGCTTCTTAAGAGTGCCTACCTCCCCCCATATACCTAAATACGGAATTCACGAATGTAGGCGATTTTTTCTTCATGTTCGAGGGTGGGTTTCAAGGAATCTTTACAGACGCACATATACAGACGTTAATCAACATTAGGTTGCTCAACTCAAAAAGTTAGAAAATGAAAAACAAAACAAAAAATCTTAAAAAATTTTATAATAATAATAATAGGTAAATTTATAAGGCACAAATAATAATAATAAATAATAATGACATTGTAGCGTTTGTAAAATATTTGTCACTGGTACTGGGAACAGTCACAAAAGTGGGGGGGGGGGAGGTCCCCCAGTAGAAAAAGTGGGTTGGCCAATGGCGCCCCACCCCCGCTTCCGCCACAGATTCAGGGGAGAAAATTCTGGTTTATTGCTCAAAGGTTGTTGTGATACAATGATAAAAAATAAGTATCCACTTAATAGGGATTATTTGACCATTTGGCACACTCAGAAAGTGTCCCCGTCCTGTGGCGGATCTAGAATTTAGCAATTTCCAAAGCACCAAGTGGCGGGGGGTTGTCGTGGTTTTAACAAGGGCGCAGATCAGTTCGAAAGGTGAGGGGGACATTCCGTGAGCCCCACGGCAACCAATTAATATGTGTGATGTTCTATATAAAATAATATTAAAAACATTGTCTTTGATGTACTTACCCTGTATTTAGGCCAAATACTTCAAAGCCATTTGTCCATCAGAAGGGCTGAGGGGGAAAAAGTACCCTAAATTACAGGAAATGAAAATCTTTTATAATAAAATTCATCATCATCGATCAAATTAATCACTGTGATGTTCCACTGAAAATAAAACTCAGTTGTCTTTGATGCATTTTTAATTTACTTTACCATGTGCCAAAATTATAATAAAGGCATGTGCACAAGAGTCGCGTATTATAAAGTAATTCAGATGTTGGTGGGCAGAGATACTGGTTGTATAGCACACTTCCGTTAGGGTCCGCAGTCCATTTCAACAATTTTCAGGCATCTTCTTGAAATTATTACATTACGGACGAAAAGTGAGGGACCAACCCCCACCCCCTTAAAATTTTGGGGGAAGTGTCCCCTTGTCCCTCCTTGATCATGGGTTTAGGGGGAGGCATCCCCTTTCATTTGAGATTTGAGACACGGCTAGATGTTCTTAGATTACATCTGAAAAGAAGTTAAGCTTAAAAAGAAAGTGTATATTTACGAGAGTAGGCCTAGCCTGTTACATGTAACATGTACACATGAGAAGCACACACAAAAGACGAGTGACTATATTTTTTTTTCGAGTTCACACCCCTAGATCCGCCACTGCCGTCCCCTTAGTAGGGATTGGCCTTTGTGTTAAGATATATATTG